TTAAAAGACTGATACCAACCAGATATCCCATAATGATGATAAATTTAATTTATTTCCAATTTCTCAAACTCTTCTACAGATTCAGGCAGCACAGTCACAGCCATTAGCTCACTGAGCTGGATGCATCATTGAAGGAATGGAATTGATCAGGCAGACAGATTGCAGTGCATGGCTAAGAGTCTCCTAAGGAGGGAGATGGCAGAAGTCCAGACATCAAATAGATGATGAAATGGCTATTTCCATTAAGGTAACATCACATCACAGATATTAATTAGGAGGCACTATAATAAAGTTAAGTGGATGTGGGAGAAAATGCTGAGTTAAAAGTCACCCCGTATGTCCTTAGCCTGAGGTAATTACAGATCTGAAGGTGAGTCATGGATCTGCAATTTTCCATTCATTTTACAATAGCTGCAGGAACGTTTAGAGATTACGTGAAAGGAGATTAGAATCCGTTTTTAGACTGGGAACAAATTATCTTTAAAAAAAGAAAATATTCTAACGTTTTCCTCTTAACATTCCTGTTTTATTCCCAAGGAAAATGACATCCTTTATTTACATTAACAACATTAATGGAGGATGACAAAGTACTGACTACTTTCTTTCTTTTTTTCTTTTTTTTTGAGATGGAGTCTTGCTCTGTCACACAGGCTGGAGTGCAGTGGCACAATTTCGTCTCACTGCAACCTCTGCCTCCCATGTTCAAACCATTCTCCTGCCTCAGCCTCCCAAGTAGGTGGGATTACAGGCTCATGCTACCATGCCTGGCTAATTTTTTGTATTTTTAGTAGAGATGGGGTTTCACCATGTTAGCCAGCATGGTCTCAATCTCCTGACCTCGTGATCTCCCCCAGCCTCGGCCTCCCAAAGTCCTGGGATTATAGGTGTCGGCCACCTTGCCCGGCCCAGTTCTTACTACTTTCTAGAGAAATTAAACAAATGAAACAAGTTAGCTTTAAGTTTAAATGCATTTTATCAAGTTTTTTTTTCAAGAATGTAAATTCATCTTAAAAACTGATGGGATATTTTGTTCTAGTCTTCAGTCCAAATCCACCTTAACAGTTAAAAAAAAATTTTTTTTTCTTTTTTTGAGACGGAGTCTTGCTCTGTTGCCCAGGCTGGAGCACAGTGGTGAGATCCACTGCAAGCTCCACCTTCCGGGTTCACGCCATTTTCCTGCCTCAGCCTCCGGAGTAGCTGGGACTACAGGCACCCGCCACCAGGCCCGGCTAATTTTTTTGTATTTTTAGTAGAGACAGGGTTTCACTGTGTTAGCCAGGATGGTCTCGATCTCATGACCTCATGATCCACCCGCCTCGGCCTCCCAAAGTCTGGGATTACAGGCGTGAGCCACTGCACCCAGCCGGAATAGTAATCTTTTAAAGTATTATTTGATGTATGTAAATGATGAAGACAGTCACATTCCAAACCTGCAGAGCTTCCCTACAATAGTATGAGAGCAACAGCCAAAGTGTTGGTTGCCCAACAATAGATTTATGCCAGTTTTTTTGTTCTGTAATTCCTTGCAACCTCATCTCCCTTAGTACCTTGCCCAACTGTAACTTCCCATGTGTATCCATGATAACTAACAAATGCACACAGATGGCCAAAATGTGAGTTGAGGAAGTGTTGAGTATGAAAGGAGTTTATCTTTCCATTTCAGTTTAATTTGGATCATAATCTCAGATTTCTGGATGCAGTACTCCAAGTCACTAACTTCAAATGGCTGACTGAGGCTCTATCTAGGAAAAAAATTCCTTTGCGGAGGTTCCAATCTTAATTTCCTGTATAAAGTCAGACAATTTACAATTTTTTTTTTTTTGGCTTTATTTCACCAAAGCAGCAGAATCACGGGGATAAAAATTTACACAGGATGTCTAAATGGTGTAGATTAACTCATTGAAAGCTCCTTTATCAACGGGTGCTTACAAAAGATAAAAAGACATCAGTCAAAAATGGTGCAGTAAAAACCTCTGAAAACTCTCTCCTCCATGAAAGCAATGGGAACACTGTGATGAGCACTGTGAGAATCAACTGAAAAGTAGCCAAAGGCTTGCAGCAATCCAGGGAGTATTTATTCAAGAAAAACCAGCTGAATCTTGGTAAAAACAGTAAATTTTGTAGTGTTTCATTTGCCTTATTCCCATCCCACTCTCCCAAGCTCCATCTCGGCCTTAAAAACTAACATTCCTGAATCACAGTGAAAATCAGCAGCCATCAGAGGGGGCAAAAGAAAGCTCCTTCAAAGCCCAGTTCTCAGAGAACTATCATTATTTGACCTGTCTGGTGGTCCCCTGGAGGGCCCCGCTCAGAAGGCTGTCTTTACTTTACAGGACTTGGAGCTTGCCCAGTAGGAAAAGACTAATTCTTGTGAGGGTTTGATGAAAACAATTACAGGCATTGTTTAACACTAAGACTTCCTGAGGTGGTGACTAAAAGCTGGGGCAAACAATAGGCTAACCAAAAGCTTCAAAGGAAAAGCTGAAGAATGAGATGTCCACAAAGGGCTTTGAAAAGTTCTAATATATTAGAATAAGAAGGAATCTAGAGGGCTCATGTGTGCTCCTGGCCATATGAATGCTCAGGAAAAACCAGAGAAAGCCCTCAGCTCTCTCCTCTGCCTGACCTTGACAGGAAGTGAAGGCTAAGGCAGAGGTATCAACTGCTTGGTGTAGTGTTGAAGGTAGGCTGCACCTGCACATACATCTCTTCAACAAAGACTGAGAGACTTATTAGTTTCAGGCATTTAAGGAACTCTGTTAAAGTGTTAGCTGACTACTAATCTAACGAGCGGGGACTTCACTGGCCACATACAGAAAGAACACAGCCATCACAAAATTAGTTTAGAAAAGTCATTGAAAAAAACAGCAAGAAAGATGAACTGTGATGAAGAGAAAATCTGATTTCCAGGGTCACACTACATTATTTTAAATGTCCAGTCTTAAACGAAAATTAGGAGACATGGAAAGAAATGAGAAAGTATGACCCATACTCAGAAAAAAAAGCAGCAGTGATTAGTAACTGCCCCTGGGGAGCCCTATGTTGGACTTAGTAGACAAAGAATTTACATCAGCTATTTAAAATATACTCAAACAACTAAAGAAAACTATGTCTAAAGAACTAAAGTATAAGAATGATATCTCTCAAATAGAGAATATTAATAAAGGGATATAAATTATAAAAAATAAACAGAAATTTGTAATTGAAAAGCACAATAACTGAAATAAAAAATTCACCAGTGAGATTGAAAGCAGTTTAGAGCAAGCAGAAAAAACAATCAGTGAACTTGAAGACAGGTCGATTGAGATTGAGCCTGAGGAACAAGAATAATAAAGAATGAAGAAAAATAAACAGAGCTTCTAAGACCCGTGGAACATCAAGTGAATCAACAGACACATAATTTGGGAGTTTCAGAAGATGAGGAAAGGGGAAGAACAAATATTTGAAGAAATAATGGCCCAACATTTACCAAATATAACAAACATTAATCTAAACATTCAAGAGGTTCAAAAAACTTCAAGTAGGCTAAAGTCAAAGAGATCCACATGTAGACACACCATATTCAAATCGTTGAAAGTGAAAGTGAATCTTAAAAGCAAAACATAAGAAAGAAAATATACTCTTCTGAAGGTGGTCTACAAATCAATCTGAGGCACAGTGTGGCTTCAAGATTAGACTTTGGAGTAAGTTTTGTCACGTATGTCTTTGGAGGTCATGTGGTTGGGTACACATTTTATATAACTCATGGGGATGTTTTTTCTCCTATTATAATCTTTGGGAATAACAATAAACTAAATTCTACAACCCAGGTGACTGTTTAGACCCCTACACTCATCTCCAAGCAGTAACAGATTCTAAGTGGAAATAAAAAAATCCACATGTGCAGGAAAAAAAAAACAATACCAGCAACTGATGGTGCATAATGGCACTTACGTGGGAATATTCTTTTACGTACTTGGATAAAAGACTCAACTTACATATGGTGCCTGATTAAGAGTTTCTTAAGAGATATGAGGTAATTTTTATTGATAGCTTATTCACAAGAAAATACTGTTACATAGTAATATCTCAGTCTGAAGAAACAAAAAAATTAAATCTCTATAACAGATCTAAAGCATATATTTGACTAAATTTCCCCCCTTCTCCTCCCATATTAACGTAAAGAAATCAAGAAGAAACACCAAGATAATCAGACTTTTTTTTTTTTTTTTTAGATGGAGTCTTGCTCTGTTGCCCTGGCTGGAGTACACTGGCATGATCTCAGCTCACTGCAACCTCCACCTCCCAGGTTCAAGTAATTCTCCTGCCTCAGCCCCCCGAGTAGCTGGGATTACAGGCGGCTGCCACTATGCCTGGATAGTTTTTGTAATTTTAGTAGAGACGGGGTTTCGTCATGTTGGCCAGGCTGGTCTTGAACTCCTGACCTCAGGTGATCCTTCTGCCTCGGCCTCCCAAAGCGCTAGGATTACAGGCATAAGCCATGACACCTAGCCATGATAATTGAACTTTTTCTTTTACGATTCAAAATAGGGTAAACAAAAGGTTACTGATTTATCTAAATACTGTTCCTGTGCTTCTTATATTTATACAATTGTCTTCACACTAAAGTACAAGAAACCACTTGAAAATTATTTTTAATAGAAACAAATCACTCTCAAATGGAAAAATTACAATAGAATACATACTAGAAGCATATCACTATATTCTTCTGAAGAGCATTATTATGTCATAAAATTTCAAACTGGGGGGCAACTGAATAGTTTTTATCTCTGTTCCTCAGATAAAGATGCCAGGAAAGAAAAGGTAAAGATAAGATGTTTTACTTAAGATTAGGAAAATAAGGCTGTAATAATTTCAAAAACTAAGTATAAATTAATGATAAAAATATTGGGACTAATGCCCATGGAAGAGAAAAGCTCTACTGGGTGGTCTCTAGTCTTCATGACAGATATTCACAGATGGGGAAGACTATCCCATTATCCAGGCTTCCCAAAACTAACCTGTGATAATTAGACATTCATTGTGATCCAGCACCTCAGTGAAGAGCCGTGAAACAATCAACTCAGGATTGATTAAAAAGCGGATTTCTTCTTGCACAAGTCCTGCACTGGTTACACCACCTCCAACAAAACGATTTGCAAAATCCACCTGTAGGGAAAATGTGGCATGTTAAATAGTGGTCAAAAATACCTATGATCAAGAAGCACACGGTCTCTAAGCTCTCATCTTTTCCTCTCCCATGAAAATCAATTCCCAAATAAGTAACCTTCCCAGGAAGGGTAGATTATGGTTGCTTAAACTCTTTCCATCTCACTGCAGTTAACACCTCTGCACATTTATCTGGATCCCAGAACCACAGAAGGAATCTGGAAAATGGAGCCTTTAGGCAAAACATTATGCATTATACAGATTCTTGTTTATAAAGCTATTTGTGTCTTAGGAGCCACAAATCAAGGGAGGTCTTTATCTGGGAAGGTTTCAAAGTCATTCTCCCCCATTCACTAGTCAATTTCCCTTTATGTATTTCACGTAACTTGAATGTAATTAAACTTTTCTTATGTAATATGGTAACCAAACACTTGTTCTAAAGAATTGAAAAGTTTAGTAATCAACTTTTTGGGTAACCTTTTCCAACCTTATTGTAAGAATAAACAGATCGAATTTCTTTCCTTCTAAATTCAACGCCAAACCCCAAACTACATGAACATTACAAACTTTTTTTTTTAAATATAACTAAGGAAAAAAGGAAGAAAAAAAATCCCAGTATAGCAACAAAGATTCAATTAAATTAATATTTCCAATTAGGTTGGAAACTTTTATGCTTCATGTGTAGTAGTATGATGGGATCCCCAAACTCCTACTAATAAAGAAGAGATACACAATCCTCCAGAGAAGCGAACTCAACTTGCTAGCATTATTTCCGTTTGTCCAGTGCGTCCAGCACTATGCCAGCCTCATGAGGCAGTATGTAAGAAATAGCAACCATCTTTCCCTTAGTGAGACTATCTTAGGAGTTAGATTACACACACACACAACTTGTGTATATACACAGTCATACACACAAGTAAAATAGAATTGACTAAATACCATGAGGCTTATATGCTTTCAAACTATTTTAAAATATATGATTTCTTAAAACTTCAGTGTTCTTTAAAGCAACTGATACTAAATGACAATCTGAAGCCTATTTTACGAAACAGTAAAACAAAAGTATGAATCGTTTGATATGTAAAAATATATGTGAAAAGACAGAAATTAATAGAAGTCTTCTTTTACCATAGAATAACTTAGAAAATACTAAAACATACCACTGAGTAACTTCAAATGAGTTACCAGAGAGAAGCGCATATTTGGATTTGTATTCTGGAGTACTAAAACCAATGCTAAAAAACCAGAGTAACTTTTTAGCTTATATAGGAAAATAATTTTGGTGAAACCAGTCTGCTGATTAGAATTAGTTACCTATTACATATGAGGTCTATGGGCACTGGGTGATTCATAGCTTAAACTGTCCAATTCAACAAATATTTACTGAGTATTGTGCTGGGAATCACTGGATACAAAGATGAATAAGATATGTATGGTTCCTGGCCTCACGGCATTTGCAATTTAGATAGCAGTCAGAATGAGCATAAGCAGAATGAGAAGATGATTATTAAAGAGCTTGTTACTATGTATTTGATACTTCCTAAAAATACAATTAACTAAAATTGGGGCATGGGAGGAAGCTAGGAAAGTTTTACAAGAGGATGTGGCAGCTGACATGCAGGCTGAGGGCATAGCTGCACAAGGACACAGGGCAAAAAAAACCAAATGTAAATCACCGTATGAGGAGAATGGTAAACAGATTCCTCATGCTTGCCTGCATTGTATAGTAGTTGGAGGCTTATAGTTGGTGATAAGGTGGTCTGAGGTCTAGGGAATTTTTACTCAATTTCCCTCTGAAGGTTCTGGGAAAGATTCAAGAAACACCTGGACCTATGTTTTAGGAAGATAATTCAGGCTAGAGTTTAAAGAATAAATGGAAAAGTGTAAAACTAAAAGTAAAAAGGCTGGTTAGGTGAGTACTGAATAGTTTATACAATCACTACTAGGGCCTCAAACAGGAAAATGGTAAAGGAAAGAGAAGAAACTCAGTAACGAAATAAAATGGGCTGTACTTGAGAACTAAGAGACTGGCTGAGTGCCTAGAAGTATAATGATATTGTGACTACGAATTTGAAACAGACGAGGTTTAAGATTGGTCTAACTTAATTTTTACTGGAATAAGGTACATAACAAAAATAAAAAGATAAGCTCTATCCAACTTATGTACTACTTGATAATGATCATGAAATACATTCAATGTGTATGCTATTGTTTATGCTTTGAGTAAAAGGCCAACATCTGTAACTTGAAAGGTGTGCACAGAAATAAAAACACTAAACTCAGTATGCCTCTAAAAGCCGGAGTCTTTTAGAAAACCAAAGTTTTACACTTAAAAAAATTCTTAACAATAAAGACCCTCTACAACAGTTAAGAAACCTGTTCCAGTACATGAAAACAAGAATGTGAGTGCATCTTTATTTTTAGCCAGTTATTTTCCAAGTCACTTTAAAGCTACTCGTTCAGATTATTCAGCTTCTGAATTACAATTTGATGAAAAGACAGGAATGACAACGCTCCTCAGAGTGGTTTTGTTGTTGTTGCCATTCAGCATAATGTAATTTATATGCTACACAAGGAGCTGTGTCACATTGCAATACAATATTCCCCGATCTCCTGGGGAGACATGGCATGGGTAGGGAGAACAATTAATAGCAAGAAGCCCTTACGGTATTCTTTTAATCTATCGAGGTCTCACATTTCATCTACAGTATATTCCAAGGAAGTGGTGAGGATCTCAACCTTAACTGTTGTCAAATAATTCCTTATTGAATTGTATTGTAATGAAAGGTCAGCATTCCTGTGGTGCTAACCAGCCATAACTTTTGTTTAGTTCATGTGTATTAAGAATCTCTCAGTTTATCCAAGACTTTAAAGATGGAAAGAACTTTATCAAGAGGGGAATGTGGGGGAAAAAGTGATATTAATTCGAACCAATATTTAAGCATATTTTAAGATTAGTTTTAAAACAGAAAAAAGGTATAGGAGTAAATACAAATTTAAATATGTTTTGTTTTTGTTTTTGTTTTTCCAAAGCAAGCACAGGAAAAATATTAATTCAGTTATCCTAAGTATTTTCATTTATAAGCTCAAATAACCACTGGGAGAAGGTGATTTAGAATAAAACGTAGCTTGTTTCTTTGGAGATTTTAATTACAAATATGTCCAAATAAAAGGCCATTTAAAGAAAGAATCTGTTTCATTTAAATAATAACTAGACACAAATTTTATAGTAAGCATTAAGTTATTCAAACAAATCAGTCCATTTTCAGGCAACCGCTTTCTTTAGATTCTGAACCAATATAAGCACCAAATAAGAATCTAGGAAGAAAAATAAACTATTATCAATATAAATGAGATGGTATACAAGCTTCTTTCAAAGAAAACTCAGTTTACAATGCTCTTATAAATGGGATAAGAACACAAAACACTAACATTTTGTCTCTGATTAGTGAATTTTAAAGCAGCACTATAAATCAAAAGGTTAGGTTAGATATTACTATATTTTAAACATGGGGTTGTTAACCCCCTTCTCCAAAAATACTTTTTAAAGGTAAAAGTAGTAACAGATTATAAACAAAGATTGAGGGGTGGACAGAATTACCTGCTTTTAACAGGGAAAAGACATAGCAAGCATAGCTAGCTCACGTGTATGAAACTGTTACATACGAGAGAGAGGCCTTTCTTATCAAATCAGTTTTAGATGTCTGCCCCCTCAACCTAAACAAAGCTGTTGGTGGCTGAAAGACATCTCAATCTGGTCATCAAGTAGGGCAGAGCAAGAAGAGCCTTTAAGGAAAAAAAATAAAAATGCTTGGTGACAGTCTGTCAAGACTATACCCTGGGAATTTCCTCCACTGTCAACCTACAATCAATGTCTGAACCAAGAGGCTGATGCTGTCCAGATCTTGGGACTTTCTGTCAAAGGCTTTTGAGAGAAGCACATGTAAGAAACAGAGAGTATACACTGGTAAATAACAACATTACCAAGGCTGTCAAAGTGATCTGTTTGGTGTTTTTCCTTCATTCTGCTATCATGCTTCTTTGCATTAAATCAGTTTAGGAGACAAATAAACAGCTTTTCAAATTTCTTTTGCTGTCAGAAGTCTGAGAAGAAAAAGTCCCAATCATACACAGACACTACTGAGATTCACCTACCTGTAGCATGCCTCTGCCATTTTCTTCTATGGTACCTTCGTAAGTGACATGCAATCGTGTCAAGGGTTTTTCACATCTACAATGTAAAAAGACATTCCCTTACTTATTATTTTAATGACAAGTGCTTCACTGTAGACAAATGTGAAAATATAGGTAACTATTCAAAAAGTAAAACCACCCCAAATCTCAGAAGTCAGAAACAGATGCCTACTGTTAACATTCTTGGTACTGATCCTCCTTATTCAAACATGTAAATATACACATTTAAATTAAAATGAGATAACATATTGTTTGAAACCTGCTTTTCCTCTAAATAGTATGAAAGTTTTTATTCTTTAAAACAGTTGAAAAACATTGCAAAATATTTAAAAAATTAAGATCTATGAAATTTTGTTATGGCTAGGGTTGGCAATCTGAGGAAAAATGTAGAAAAAATTTGGCAATAAATCATAATGATTCTCATATGGCTTCTATTTTCTGTTTTCACTGATAACTGTGCGTGTGTGTGTGTGTGTGTGTGTGTGTGTCTGTCTTGATGAAAATACATGCCACAGAAATTCTGAACAATGGTATTTTTCTATTAATAAAGTTAACAGATAAACCTAGCACATGTAATTCAGAAGGCATAATTATTTTCTTTCCCTTTCAACCATGGTCACTGAGATATTTACTTGACTTAATGTTAGATTAACAACAAATTTCATTGTATTAATAGCATTTGTTAACATTATTTTCCTTATTAAATATTTTTCCCCTGATCACTTACTGAATAAAAAATGTAAATTATTATGAATGAAACAGAGGAGATCCAAAGTTCTAACTCACCTAAGAGTGCCAATAATCTTTTTTGGGAGGGAGGAGATGATTATATTTTTAGAAAATAGTCTAGGAGGTTAGCTGGAAAAGTACTGAGAATTGCTTGATTCCTTCCTGGTCTCAATGAGTTTAAATACATTTCTGGCAAAACTCCAGACCAACAGGCTGATAGCTTTAACTCAGAAGGTAATTCTGCACAGGTTCTGTCTAAGAGCTTTATTTGTATTAATTCATTTAATCCTCTCAACAACCCTATTACTATCTCCTTTTATAGATGGGGAAACAAAGCACAGAACATCTAAGTAAGCTAACCAAGACTAGTAAATAAAGCAGCAGAGATGTGAAACTATGTAGACTCACTCAATGGTCCAGGCTCTGAATCAGTATGCCACACTTTTAGAGAAATTACTTCCCCGGTCTCTTGTAGAAAACAGTATCATAAGTTTAACATATATTTTTAAACTTTTTTTTGGTCCTACTTTCCTAGCCATTTTATTCAGAGGAAGACCCTCCCTGTGAGCATACTACTAAAATCTCTGGGCTGTCAAGTCAGGACTTCAGAACAGGAATTCCATCTGTTGTCAACTATTCTCCATGACTGAAACTAGAAACTTTATAGTATAGCTCTTAATAAAATTATGAAATTGCTAGAAACTTTTTCTTGGTTTTGTTTTGTTTTGAAGCATTTTCTAACTTCCCAATAGGTCATCCTCTAAACTCCTACCCCAAGAGTCAAAGACATAGATGATTCTGGCTCCCTGTGATTAAGCCTGGCTAAAGTATTTGCTGATAATCAAACGGTTAACTATAACATGCCAGAAACTTGGAATTCAGTTCCAACTCCTGGCACCCATTTAGCCCCTTACTCTTGGGAACACCAACAATCCTCAACTTTTCTTCATTCTCCCTCTTTAAGTGAATGCATGTTTCTGGTTCTGTGGAGTCTGGGAGACTGATTTTAATTACATTCTCCAACTCACTTATGAAGCAGCTAAAACAAAAAAGAGATCAATGAAACAAAAATAAGTTAAATTCTGCCTATCAAAACTAAGGGGACAATCTTGGTCTCACTTAGAGGCAAAGTTACTGTGTCTCACCGACAAAGCAGCCTTGCCAGTCTCTGCATTTTGACCTGTCCCTTCTCTCCCACATGGTGGTATACAAATGGGTGTTCTTTCACATTAGCGCCAAATGAATATCAGATGCACAGTAGAGAATCTGGATGACTTAAAAATAAGCCCTCAGATTGATCTGTAAAATCTACACCAAAGTAACAGGAATAAAACATCTGCATTCCTATTAGAGACTAATAGAAGAGTGAAGAAAAATAATCCTCTGCACCACAGAGATGCACAGCAGAATGGTACTTTTAATTCCAGGCACCATATTTTAAGAGGGCCCAATGAATGGGAGTATGTTAAGAGCAGAGATAAAGGGTTTAGAATACGTATTACATGTGAAATACAAGAAACGAATCAATTTAGTATGAAATTATGTGCACTGTTAGAGAGGGAAGTAGGTCAAGAAGTCATTAAGATACATGAAAAGAAGGGTCAGATGCTAAAACTACAAATTCAGATGTATTTATGTAGCTCCAGAAGGAAGAACCAGGAATGGTGGAGAATGAATGTAGAAAACATTTTTAGTGAATGAAAGCATGAGATGATAACACAAGCAGCCACCATTGGAACAAACTGATGTGAAACAGCGGATTTCCCATCACTGAAGCTATCCAGTCTCCGTCCATCGCAGGTATTACAGAGCTGATCAAGAGTTTTAGTAGGCGGCTGGGGTTCCTTTCAGATCTAACATGCCATGATGCCAAAATGCTGTACATGTTCTTATCTTTTTCAGGCTCATTTTTTTCCCTCTCTTCAGGTTGCTTAACCTTTTATCTACTTCCCTCTATTAATAATCATCTAAACCATGCACACAAGTCTTCTGAAGTCAATTTCTTTATCTTTCACTTCACTTTATCTTTACCTTCACTTTCACTTGATGGATGAAAACAATGCAGGAAAGCCACCTAAGCAGATATGACTTCTCAAGTTAACTTTTTAAAAGTGATTTCCATTCATCACTAATTTCAAACAAAACAATTACACACTATCATAAAATTATTAGAAAATTATTAGAAAGTGAAAACGAGAGGCATTGGTTAAATATGTTTAATACGCTTCATCATGTCCTCAAACATATTTAAAAAGTTAATCCACACTTCTTTAAGTGTATTAGGGGACTTGCTTTAGATTAAGCAATAGTTAACTATTTCAGGACCCTTCTTTAAGTGTATTGTAACTATTTCAGGACACTAAGGACCTTACAAATCTGAATTAGCTCAGATTGGCTGCTATCTCCTCAATATTTTCTGATAAATAAGAAACAAACAGAAAATACCAACTTCCACACAATCTACCAGTAGTACACAAGGGCAGCCAAACTTCAAAATTCTTGCCACTCAGACAAACTCTAAACAGTTACTGTTTACTAAAATGTAAATAATAAAAAGACTTTTCTCAATCTTGTCCTCCAGAAAGAAAAGCCATAAAGTTCAAATACTAACCAAAAAAAAGGGTAAGGAGAAACATTTAAATATTGGTGTTCCTTTTATTAGTGTCTTCACATACAACACTCCTCAATTCTAAACAGGACTTTCTTTCAGAAAACAAAACCAAGACAAAATGGTAGAAATCAAAGGGTTATAGACTTTGATTTAAAAGGCATGACCTTTTCAAAAATGAGAGCTATTATTGGATCATTTATGAGAAGAAATTCCCTGGCACTAGGATAATTAGAGGTTGGAAAACCATCTTTCCAGGTGCTATAAAATAGAATCCTCTCACGGTGAAAGAGTCCTTCTAATTCTAGGGGTCCAGGATTATTTTTATTATTATTGTTACCTTTCCCATTCTGGAAAATCTTCAAGACTCTGTCTTGTAAATGTCACCAACCCAGTAGGTTCTACAGAAGCAATAAAAGAAAAACATACCCAAAATAAGTTTCAATTTTGAAAAGATTATACACATACACACACACACACACACACACACACACACACACACTCAGTAAAAGAACAGGTCCAACATTGGCTATAAAACTAATCAGGAAATACAAAGTCTAGTATTGGAAAATAACAGAGTATCGATTGAAAATAATATTAACCTTACAGGGAAACTGCTATAAAATAATAAGACTTCACTAAACAAAACTATACAAACAACAGCACAACAGTAGGATTTGAGTGTTGGTACTTTCTGGTAAAGTTTTTGAAGTTGAATACACTTTTTTTTTTTTCTTTTTAAAGCACTGAAAAAAAGGATGTATAACTGGTACAGCTTACGCAATAAAGACAAAATTGAATTCAAATTTGTAGACTCCTTTATAAACAAAGGACTTAACCCTACATTCAAAGACTGGTGAATAAATACACATTTATATACTTTATGGCAAAGTGAAATGCCACAGATTTAAAAAGGAAATCATTCGCACATCCTCTGGAGTTAGTACAGCTAAGTCCCGGGCTTAGACAGTGGGCAATCACTCTACTTGTTAGTCGCAGTCTTAGCCAGAGGAGAAATTACTGGTTCTAAGAGTTTACAGAACAAAGATGACATATTTTTCAAGAAGCAATAAATTTGGGAGGATTAAGATGAAATACTATTAATGCAGTCAATAATTTTAGAGGATGAGATCCTTTTCTAGTCAGATTTACTTTTTTTAAAAAAAGCTAGTAGCAAAAGAAACAAATAAATCAGCTGGCCAGAAGTAATTTGTCTGATTCAAATCAAAGAACAAACTAAAAAGGCCATGCCATTTCTGTTTTCTTGAATAGAAAAAAAGCTCTTAAGGAAAGAGAGAGATGTCAGGAACTATTAGTGATGGCGGTGTCTAGCCCAGTGAAAGCCTCGCCATCATTCCATTCCTACGCACAATTCCACATTTCCTTGTTCTCAGTCAAAAGCAGGAACCACTCAAAAACCATATGGAGCAGTTGCAGTAGAAAACAAAATTTTTTCTTAAGTTTTACATTCTTTAGATATCTAATCTTAGGATAAATGGGTAACATATTTAAAACTCACAAGTAAGTGGTCAAACAACTCAAACACTAGAGAAGCAATTCCATGAATATAATAGAAAACATCTCTCTTGTTATTCGGCAACTTAGCAGAGAAGTAAGAACGTCAAATGTCCTTCATATATACTAGGAGATGCTAACAGAAATTCATAAACACTGCTGGCAAAGCAAGAAAAGGCAGAAGAACATGGTTTCTTAGATTAACAAAAATGCCCTGAGAGCACGTCTGTTAGCTTTCTTTCATAACAAGGCAACTTTCATTTCAGAATAGGATACTTTGGTTAATCAAATACTTTCCATAATAAAGTCACAATATATACTACCTACAGGTCGTAAATTTTCAAAAACCTGATCTTTAAGATACTTTATCTAAAACTATATGGAAAATAATTTAATTTGGAATGCTCTTTAAAATATTTCAGTCTCAAGATCTTCATCAAATATAAAATATACATGTTTAACAACACCGAAAAGTTGGTCCTGATGGAATTCTATTTTTATCAATTCTAAAAGGCATGTTTTTTCACATATTACATTTCCGAGACTGGAATACATCTTTTAGGAGGTATCTTACCATAGGTCTAGAGGTGAATTTTCCCAGAGAATACGTGCATCTGCTTCTGCTGTCATCTGGGAACACTATTAGCCTGGTATCAACCGAATTAATCCTTTGTGGCAGGCCTTTGTGGACCACACTGGTGGTGAGGCTGCACACCCAAAGCTTAGGGCTTGTGGTTCAAATTCTCAGAGAAATGTTTTTTTTTTCCTTTCTCTATTTAGAGTCAAGGTTGAGACCTGCATGTTTCTTTATGGTCCCTTTTCTGGATGATAAATTAATTTCTCATTTATTCTTAGGTGTACCAGTCTCGTGGGTCAGGTCTCCTACTAAACTCCCTGTCCGGAGTGGTTTTTTCCTTCTTAGAGGTATATAATGTAATAGCACTTTTTAAAACTAATCTATGACATCTTAGATTCGATGAAATATGGTATCTTAAAATAAGTTTCTGAAGTCTACTGAGCAGGCTCCAGAACTTCTACACGACTCATTATATTGCAACCTCTTTTATTCTCTTTAGTATTTCCTCCTTAAACCGTTAGCTTTACATACTGAAGACCAAGAGCAATGTTGTACTGCATTTCTACAAAGAGCTTAATTACCATGTGTAGTGGAAAAGTCAGGAAATAAAATGTCTAGTTATAATTTATTTCTTCAAATTCCCAATACTTATAATGGAATATACACTTCTAGTTGAAAAAACAGACTTTTAGCTTTTTCCTCAAAGTATCTGAAATCCTAAAATTTAGAAAGCCAAGTTGGTTTTTAGAGAAGACATATATGATTTGACTCCCAGGACAAAAAAGTAAACTCTGTACTACTTAGTTATAATAATTCTACTTAAAACAGCAACTCAAAGTACTGTGAAAACAAAACAAAACCAAAGCAATAGTAATAATTCGAATTAGGCCTAGAATAGCCAAAAAAAAGTAGTCATCTTTTTTTTTTTTTGAGACAGAGTCTTGCTCTGTCGCCCAGGCTAAAGTGCAGGGGCACAATCTCCATCTCCAGGGTTCAAGTGATTCTTGTGCCTCAACCTCCCGAGTAGCTGGGATTACAGGCTCCCACCACCATGCCCGGCTCATTTTTGTATTTTTTTTTTTTTTTTGAGACGGAGTCTTGCTCTGTAGCCCAGGCTGGAGTGCAGTGGCGTGATCTTGGCTCACTGCAAGCTCCGCCTCCCGGGTTCACGCCATTCTCCTGCCTCAGTCTTCCAAGTAGCTTGGACTACAGGCGCCGGCCACCACGCCCGGCTGATTTTTTGTATTTTTAGTAGAGACAGGGTTTCACCATGTTAGCCAGGCTGGTCTGGAACTCCTGAGCTCATGATCCGCCCACCTTGGCCTCCCAAAGTGCTGGGATTACAGGCATGAGCCATCACGTCTGGCCTTAAATAGTCATCTTTTTAACAAATCATTACAAATTCTAATTTGATTTTGTATCTCATAGGTCCAAATAATTCTGCATTTTAATATTTAATTCAGTACAGGGCACAAACCTGAAATTCAATAAGCTATGAGATAAATAATCCCATATCAAAGTAGCATATAATTTTCCCTTAAATATCAAAATCCTGATAATTGATTTCATTCTAAAAATTTAACAATGTCCAATAGCAACACATTCAAGGGGGAAAATGCCAAGTACACCGAATGCAAGAGTAAAAGAAGGATATGAGAAAAATGACCTTAAAATGATTCAAAGACATGTTTTAAGACAATCCTACAACCCAGAACTGAAAAAAAGCCATTTCACTTGACCAGATTGACCTCACCTACTTAGCACAAAGAAACTTTTGAGGTGTTCTGGTTTACATCCACTTGTAAGAAAGGCTACCCATTGATAATAGCTTACATTTATTAAGCATGTATCTTCTTGTTTCATATCTATAACTACCCTATAAGGTAATGGCCATTATTATATTATTTCATAGATGATAAAACTGAAGCTTAGAGGTGTCAAGAAACTTGACTATGGTCATTCAGCTTCTGAGATAAGAGTGGCAATACTAATCTATTATCACTGGTCATTACTAGTATTTGTTGCACATTTACTAATACTGTCTCAGCTGCTATCAGGTTCTGGGGAAGCAAGAATATTAAGGTTCAATAGAGGAAGATGGAGATACAAAACTCAGTACAAAAGTTTTATAAGAACTCCACAAAGGGCTTAGGGGGGCACAAAAGAGAGGAATGGTTAGAAAAGGAATGCGTTAGTTGACTTATGCAAATAAACTAGTGAATACTTCTTTAAATAAAGAGCATCCAAAATTTATTTCCTGGTCAATATACTTTCTCTGGTTTTTATTCATGAAAATCTTTTGACGTATATTACAGATTTCAGAGAATATGGGTCTGATTTCAGAGTATGTAAACCCCGCCCCCCTACATTTACAGCACACATTTATGCTCATACACAACATAAGCATAAAATCTAGGTTATAATGTCGAATCATTACTACTGTTTCAATGTGGTTGGGACAAGAAGGTTTATGTTAAACACAAAATGTTCCTCACATGTCACTTGACTTGAACTGTTCCCATCAGCAAGAAAAATTACAGTAAGAATGAAAGGAATTTACTTTTCTCTGTGACTCTTCTGAAGTAGCAGAAGAGCGTTTTAAGTTTCTCTGGTTTCCTTGATGAACGTCCCTCAAACAACCTAAAAGAGATAAAAAATAAAAGAGAGTGGAAGATGAGTTAAAATGCCTTAATGATTCACAGAACTACATCCATATTGCTACCAAGGAATAAAAAGAAATAATTCTTCCAGAAGACAATTCTGTAATAATAAGAACTGGAAAACTGGTTTAGATTCAAATAGCATCTGGAGAGAACTGAAACCAACTAGAACCAGGCTTCCTCAAAGCTGTTCAAATCAGATGGCATTTGCTACCAACCACATTTCTCCAACCTACCTTCTACCATGGAGAAGGCACCATCTAGCCATCCCAGTCAATTAGGGTCAGTCAGTGCACAGCTACTTTCTCAAAGGCTAATAACATTTACAATTCATAATGTTAACAAGGTAGTTTGATAAATAACAAAAACAGTAGCTGAAAAAAATCCTTATCTGAGTGTTTGAGAGGAAAGGAGAGTGGAGGGGAATGGGGGAAGGGACACAGGCAGGTATAACAAGGTATCAGGGCTCAATAATCCTTGTTAATTAAACAACTAGATTCTTTTATGCACTGAATGTCTGTGCCCTCTCAAAATTTATATGTCGAATCCTTAATCCCTAATGTAGCTAAATTTGGAGATAGGGCCTGTGAGGGGGTAGTAACGGTTAAATAAGGTCATAGGGGTGGGACTCTAATCTGATAGAACTGGTGTCATTTTAAGAAGAGAAGGAGAGTACTCTCCCTCTGCCATGTGAGGACAAGATGCCAGCCAACCTATAAGCCAGGAAGAAAGCCCTCATCAGGAACTGAAGCAGCAGCACCTTGATCTGCAGCTTCTAGCCTCCAGAACCATGAGAAAATAAATTTCTGTTGTTTAAGCCACTCAGTTCTATGGTATTTTATTATAGCAGCCCAAGCTGACTAATAGAGATCCTTTGCATGGTAACCAAAACAGTGCCTACCCTGTGTCATCTAGTTTTCAGCAACCCAGACTTGGATTACTTAATTCAGTTTTCTTTGAAATGACATGGCATTGTTATTGGTAACATATAATTCAATTTATTCTGAGGAAAGAAAAGCAGGGCTTTAAAAGCATTATGACCTGAGTAAGTATTCACTAAAACATTTCTAACACAAAAGCATGCTTTTGAGCATCAGATCTAGCTTTCCAAAGGCATTTACAAATTATAGAGATTCAGTGGCTATAAATGATGAGGTACTCTTCATCTGCCTCTAGTCATGTGCTCTGACTTTAAAACCAGAAACCCTTCAAGTAAAGTCCACGTTAATAAGTGCTGAAATGGGTCATTGTTTTTCTTGATTACAAGAGCAAGCTTACGTAACTACGCTGAGAGGGAAAAGTTAATTCCACGAGAAAATCCTATTGAGCGACTGAAATAAATTAGGAAAAGGAAAGGAAATGCAGATTTCAAATGGTTCCGTTTTCAATGATCTGAAATCTGTATCCAGGGCCAATTTCTGGAAAAACAATTTATATGAATATCTACTTCCTAAAAAGAATACTAATGTAGGCTAGTATTTTAACCAAATCTAAAATCAGATCTCTCTTTAAAAATAGTTTAAGACAGCCTGTGTGATAATTTTTACTTATTTTAAAAAACGTATCTTTCTAAAATATTTAATACACATATTCTTATAATCCAGCTAAAAGAAAGGCTCTTTGAGGGTGCAGGTTTCAGCGGCTTCTTCTAGAACAGAGTTTATTTAAGTCAAAATGAAGAAGCCACATAGCAGTTTAATTAAACATCCTATATCAATAAATACGATTTACTAAATGAATACCTTAGGCTCCACTGCAAAATCTCTTTCTAGGCTCACTATGTAGTACAGGAAAGCAGTATGAATGTAAAAGTAGCCACCACCTTTTCCTAGAGATGAACTGATGTACTATACAATTCAATTAAAGGATAAAAAGTACTTCAATAGAACTATTGCATAGTGAGGGGAAAATGGCTGTTGCTCTTAAGAAATAATTCTCCAAAACATAGAAAAAGTGTCCCTAGCTTCCATATGTGGTCATCTGTGTATAAAATCACATAAAAGGTCACATACTTCACAACCATGATGACAAATTATTAACTTTAGGAGCCTCGTGAGACTGCAGATTTATTATCCTGGCAAGACAGACTTTCCTGGAAGATTTTATGGCTGTTATTATCAATCACTACAAATGAACACCATGGTTTATTTTGCAGGTCCAAATCTTAAAGGTACAAATCAAGCAGAATCTCAATGTACTCTGTTTATTCACTGCTCCAGTCCTAACTTCAAATCACTGTGTAACCAAATATGCTTTACCATCTTCCTGATAGAGCAGGGGGAAGTGCGGGAAGTGTGGTGATGGCTGCAGGGGTAACAAGTGGAGATAAGTCAGAGGAGATGAAGTAGGTTTAAAATTCTTGTGACAATTCTCAGACTTGACTGTTGTGAAATCTTAAAGTTGTATGCACAGCCACTCAAATAAAATGAATTATCCTGATAGGGAAGCAAGTAAAAATAACATAAATAGACAGGCAAACAGCATGAATGAAAGTCATCCCAGGAGTGATAAACAATCTGAGAGACAGCTTTTGGGGGTGAGGAGGAAAACAAAAGGACTGAGGCTGGAGCCCAAGAAAGGGGTGAAGGGTGAGAAGAAAGATGGGACAGGGAAGACAGAAAGAAGAGAAAGGCTGATAGAAATGGGGTTAGAGACAGAGGGCACGAGAGACAGACACACAGAGAGAAAGACACACATAAACGGGCTCAGAGAAAGTGAGACCTTCTCATAATCATTAAGCATCATTCCCCGCCCCCACTCCCCCTTTTTAATTTAAACTTCCCAACACCTTTCTTTTTTAGTTTAGATTTTTCAAGTCCTGGGTATGTATATTTGAAGGTACATTTTAGGTCAGCAGTGTGCACACAAACCAGGCCACAATAACTCCTCCGCATGTAGGGAAGACATTTGGGCATTTAACTGAAAGATAATGATAGATTATTAAAGAAATCAAACACAAAAAGCCAGTCAGGAAACCTTACTTTGTTCTAAACAAAACTGTTTGTATTTTCAAAGACAGAAGTCAGTCAAAGGTCAGATACTTATTAGCTGGTGTTCTTCTTTGCATACTTATTAAGGAGAAACACAGTTGAATAAAATCTTTCCCTGAATGGAATACTGATAACATTACTGGAATTTTATTCTAGGTATATCCATCCCCACCCCTGCCACAACCCACTATGCCATTTCAAGTTAAGTAATAATCCCATTAGTATACAGTAAATCAAGCCCAAAGCACTACAACCTCCATTTTAAAATACCAGCAAGTGATAATCCGGAACCCAGCCAGAAAGTCATTCCTGGCTCTTCTGTGAGGCACTCTGCCATATGGCCCCAGCAGCATTTTCAATCCAGGGAAGAGGCAGATGTAAAAACCGCCTGGGCTGACCACTGCTGAGACCCACAATTTATCTCTGACCATCTAGTTTCCATGCAAACCCAGAAGCATCAATGCTAATCACATTGGAAGCCTTTATATGAATGTTTAGGACCTGAAAGGCAAGCAGGGAAAAAGGTCAGGGGTATTTAATATAACTAAGCAGGCTGAAAGAACACAGCAATAAATAAAAAAGGGAAGACTTATTCAATTTATTGACGTCAGCTTCCCAACACATACTCTTACCATTTTTCTTATTCAACTAGCTAGCCATACCTCTTTTGAGATTAAATACACTCTCACACACACAACTCCCCACAGCTAGAAACTATAATCGTAAGTAGAAACTATGCATAAAAGGAAATAACACAATAAAATGCTACATAATCAGCTTAACAAATGGCTCATCAGATTAAGTACTGGATCTTTCAAAAGCTACATGAAAGTGGGGGGACTTTCGGTTGTTTGGCATTTCTGGAGCACTCAGAGCGTTTTGCTTACGACAAGCATTGAGATATAATAAAAGAACACTGAGTTTGAGTAGAAGACAGTGATCAAGTTCCAGTTGTGCTAACAATTCATTTACTCTCCCTGAACCTTATTGTAGAGAGGTTTCCCTACCTAGAAAATTCCACAGACAGAATCAAAGCAAGACATGAAAAGACAGCATCAATGGTGATGTACAATCGTTGTTCCCATTATTTGCTAGCTTAGGCTCATTAAAACACATACCATCTCACAGTGAAACGCAAGTGCAGATATTCTGGCTGCTTAGGATTCTCTATAACATTGTGGAGACTAACACTGGGTTACCTGCCTTAATTCATTTTCCGTGTTCTGGTATCCAAAAGAACATCCATCACCTAGGAAGACAAGAATATGCCTGACTTCAAATCTTCAATGGAACTACTTAAAGTCTTATTTGGTGAGAATGCTATCTGCTGCAAGCTTAAATTCGTCACGGTCACTCTGGACTTACAAATGGCTTTAATTCATTTAATAGATCAATAGTTATTTCTAAAAATAGGTCTAATTTTTTTTTTTTTTTTTTTTTTGAGATGGAGTCTCACTCTGTCGCCCAAGCTGGAGTGCAGTGGCCGGATCTCAGCTCACTGCAAGCTCCGCCTCCCAGGTTCACGCCATTCTCCTGCCTCAGCCTCCCGAGTAGCTGGGACTACAGGCGCCCGCCACCTCGCCCAGCTAGTTTTTTGTATTTTTTAGTAGAGACGGGGTTTCACCGTGTTAGCCAGGATGGTCTCGATCTCCTGACCTCGTGATCCACCCTTCTCGGCCTCCCAAAGTGCTGGGATTACAGGCTTCAGCTACCACGCCCAGCCAATAGTTCTAATTTTTGACTAGCCATGAGGTAAGATTAATTCAGTTCATTCAAAGGGAGACTGTGTAGCAGAATGGTTAAGGGACACAGATTCTCAAAGGAGACTATATCCTGCGTTTGAATCCCAAGTCTACTAGTTACTGTGTTAACCTGGTGAAGTGACCTCCCTCTCTAAACTTCCATCTCACTTTAAAAAAGAGAGTAACAACAATTCCTAATCAATATCTAATTCATATGGTTAATGTGACAAGTAAATGAATTTCAGATA